GCAGGCTGATCTACGCGATCGACCACTCCCACACCCTGGGCCTCACCATCATCACGATCATCGAGAGCATCATGTCCACCCTGGGAGCCGAGCGGAAGATCGGCCCCGCGCCGAGGGGCCCCCCTCGAGAGGGACGCATCTCGCCTCCTTGCGGAGCTGGGTGGGAAGCAGTGAGCAGAGTGAGAGGCTTAGGAGGACAGAGTAGTAGCAGTAGCAGTCATCCTTTACAATCTTTGGCCCCGCCCCCAGGCCTGGACCCCCCACGCGGTATCATTAACCTGGGCCTGATGCGGGGCAGCGCAAGGTTGGCGGCATTAATTCAGAGGGGTGCTGTTTCTTCGGAAGTTTTGAGCCCTCGGCCCCCGCTCATACCCACTGCCTACGGCTCAGGAGTGTCCAATACCCCGACTATCCAGACAGAGGGGGGGGCCTTCTAGGGCGAAAGGCTCGGGAAAGGGCAGGAAGGGCAAGGGCCGTCGGTAGTTCATAATCTCACTGGTCCCCACTAGCGGGCCCCCTGTAGGCTGCGTGCCGTCCTGGGGGTGCTCGTAGGGGCGGTGCGGCGTCCGTCGTGAGCCACGGGCCGCATCAGACGGTTAGGCGAGTTTCCGATTCGCCCCCCAGAGTTCCCCCTGTTGTCGCATAGGTAAGCTGTCGCCTGCAGGTGCCTCGAGGTAGCAGACGAACTCCCACGGGCCCGATCCCGACCCCGATCCTCCTCCTCCTCCTCCTCCTCCTCCTCCTCCTCCTCCTCCTCCTCCTCCTCCTCGTATCCCCTCCTCGTCGTCCTCGTCGTCCTTATCCAGTGGGTTCCTTTACCGTATCTCCACCTCCTCGTCCTCCTCCTCTGCAGGGGAGGGCGCAGCGATCCCGAGGGGCCCCGGGGCACAGCGCGCTGCCGCTGGTTGCCTCCTCCTGGGCTGGTTTTGTTTTGGGCATGGTGGGGTCTTCTTCCGGTCGTCCCAGTTGGAATGCACATCTCCGACGATATGACCTTTCAATCAAAACTCGGTCCGGGATGAAAAACTGCCCCGGGGAATGGGTCGGGGCCCTCGGGGCCGCGCGCTGAACAACAGCACATCGCCCGGACTCCGTCGGACAATGGGCCAGTCGAGATGACAGCGGGCCTCCCCTGCGTTTTTTGTCCGTCCTTTGTGGGTCTCCTGGAGTCTCTTCGTCACCATGGGCCCGCCTCGGTCATGTCATGTCAGGTCAGATGTTTTGCGCCAGACGTCGCGCGATGTTTGGTAGAACGGTGTGCTCGTGCTGGATTGTGCTTGCAGGAGCCCGTCGGCCCTCCGCTCGGCAGGGCAGGTATTCCTACTGCAGCGTGTCCAGAGGAGGAGGAGGAGCAGGAGGAGGAGGAGGAGGAGGAGGAGGAGGGAGGGGGAGGAGGAGGAGGGAGGAGGGAGGGAGGAGGAGGAGGGAGGAGGAGGAGGAGGGAGGAGGAGGAGGAGGAGGAGGAGGAGGAGAGGATGGAGGAGGAGGAGCAGGGAGGAGGGGGAGGAGGAGGAGGAGGTGACGGGCGGGGGGGGGTGGAGGGGAAGGGGTGGGGGGAGGAGCAGACGGAGGATCTGCGTCGAAAACTTGGCGTTCCTGCTCCACGGGGCGCCCAGGCCCAGGTGTCGTGGCCGGTCTGGTCGAGAACCCCGCAGTGCGGTCTGCCTCTCGGGGGCTCTGCCGGCACTCTCCGTGGCCCGGCCGTGCAGAGATGGGGCAGTGATCGAGGGGCGGGGGTGGTGATTAGGGGGGCTTCGTTCTCATGGCGGGGGCCACGAGACCTCCCCGCATTCCATGGCCCGGTGGATCCTGTTTCAATGCATCCCCTGGGTCCCGTGCCGCCCCCACCCGTCCGCGCACATCCGGCCATGAGTTGACGACCCCCTCTTGGACGCCCCCCTCTTTGGACGCCCCCGGAATGAGAGGTGGGGCTCAGAGGGCGAGAGCCTCGAATAATGAAGGCTCAACCTGTGGTCCACTTCCGATCCGCACTGGTAGGGCCCTAGGGCCCCATCCCCGAGGGCCCCATCTCTCAACAGCAGAATCGGAAGTTCGGGATGCCGGCCTGCCCGTGCAGCTGGCGCGCGGGGGCGCGCGTGTGCAGACTGGGCGCTGGAGAATTTCGGACCTCGACTACTCGGCCGAGGATGCCGGCGACTCTGACCAGCCTTGCAGCAAGGCGGCAGGCCACCTGCAAGCGAGACAAAACCTCACCCTCGTTCACCCACGTGCTCCTGCTATCCCTCGCTCCTTCTGCCCTCCAGTCCTCCTCTACGGTCTCCCCCTCTCGTCCGTCGCATCTTCCCCCAGGCGGGGAACATGAAAGCCCAGAGAGTATTGGAAAGGATGGGGGATCCTTGGATCTGTGACTATTTGTTTTGTGTGTCCCTGGGCGCCTTTTAGTCAGGAGGGGGACCTGGTCCTCATTGGTGCTCACTCCCCCGGTAACTTGTCGCCACTCGCTGCCCGCTGCCCTGCCCGACGGGGCATATGTGACCTCGTGGACGCAGCCCCGGCGGCGGCGTCGGGCCGGGCCAGCTCCTCCTCCTTCCGCGGGGCCGCACCACGGCGAGTCCTGTAACAGTGCTTCACGTATGTCAAGAGGGACAAAAAACACAGACACAATTAATCGTCGAGTCCCAGGAAGATATGGGCAAATATGGGAAGTGGGGGGGAAGACAGAAACCCAGAAAATATGGGAACATATGGGGAATCTTTTTATTTGTGTCTATTTATTTGTGTGTCCCAGTTCCCCTTCAGTATGAGCTGGGTGCCTGTCCGAGCCGCCCCACGCCCTGTCCCCCGCGAGAGGGCCTCTGCCTCACTGGGGCCGTGGCCGTCCTCTCAGTGTGTGGGCGGGCTCTTGCCGCCTCGTCGCGACCAGCCGGCCAGGGGAGCTGCCTCGGCTTGCCACCTGCAGCAGGAGGGGAGCGGTGTTTTCAAGATGCGGTTTGTCGCTGTTCCGAGGTCTAGCAGAAGAAGCATTTGTTGCTCCGCTGAGGCGAGGTCGATGGCCAACGGCTTTCCCACGCCAAGCCATCGATCGGCATCGGGATGCGTAGCACCCCGCAATTGCGGATAAGAGTGAGGAGGCGGGGGCGGGCGACGCGGGCGTCGAGACGGCGGACCTCGTGGCCCTCACTTTCCCTGTCGATGGCGCTCTCCTCCTCCTCCTCCTCCTCCTCCTCCTCCTCCTCCTCCTCATCATCATCATCATCATCAGCATCAGCATCAGCATCAGCATCAGCATCAGCATCATCATCATCATCATCATCATCATCATCATCATCATCATCATCATCGTCGTCATCATCATCATCATCATCATCATCATCATCAATCATCATCATCATCATCATCATCATCATCATCATCATCATCATCATCGTCATAATCATCATCATCTCATCATCCCCTCCTCCTCGCCTGCTCCTCCTCCTCCTCTCTCCTCCCTCCTCCTCCTCCCTCCTCTTCCTCCTCCTCCTCCTCCTCCTCCTCCTCCTCCTCTCCCCTATCCCGATCCTCCCCCCTCCTCCTTTCCGTCGTCGTCCTCCTCCTCTTCCTCCTCCCCCTCCTCCTCCCTCCTTTCTCGTCGTCACCCTCCGTCCCCCCTCCTTATTCTCCTCGCCCTCGTCGTCGGCCTCCTTGTACTCGTCGTCGTCGTCGTCGTCGTCAATGAAAGTGTTCAGACACAGCCCCGCCGCAGGCGCTGATGTGCGGTTGTAGAGACAACGTGGGCCGGACCGGGGGAATGGCACGAGGGCGTTTTCCCAAACCAATGCGAGCAAGCCCGCCGCAGGCGCCGATTTGCGTGCTCTGACAAGTTCAGCGCGGGGGGGATCGCTGGTGGGCCACCCGGAACTGATGCAAAAACAGCCCGCCGCTGGCGCCGATTTTTTGGTTTGTTTAGTGAACGTAGATTGGGTCGCGGGTGGGTCGCGGGCTCTCCACCTCCACTTGGAAGGAATTCAAAAATCAGCCCGCCGCAGGCGCCGAAAATTTTGTTTTGTCTACTGAACGCTGTTTGGGTCGCAGGTTCTCCACCTGGAACGGATGCAAAAACAGCCCGCCGCAGGCGCCGAATTTTTGGTTTATTTAGCGAACGTAATTTGGGTCGCGGGCAGGTCGCGGGCTCTCCACCTCCACTTGGAAGGAATTCAAAAACAGCCCGCCGCAGGCGCCGAACATTTTGATTTGTACACTGAACGCGGTTTGGGTCGCGGGTGGGTCGCAGGTTCTCCACCTGGAACGAATGCAAAAGAAGCCCGCCGCAGGCGCTGAAAATTTTGGGTGGGTCGCGGGGTGGGTCGCGGGGTGGGTCGCGGGTGGGTCGCGGGTGCGGCTTGGGTCGCGGGTGGATCGCAGGTTCTCCACCTGTAAAGAATCCAACAGAAACCCGCCGCAGGCGGCGAACATTTTGGGTGGGTCGCGGGGTGGGTCGCGGGTGGGGTCGCGGTGGGTCGCGGGTGGGTCGCGGGTGGGTCGCGGGTGGGTCGCGGGGTGGGTGGTGGGTCGCGGGGTGGGTCCGGTGGGTCGCCGTCGGGGTGGGTTGTTAGGGGGGTTTTGCGGTGGGTCTCGGGGTGGGTCGCGGGGTGGGTCGCGGGTGGGTCGCGGGTGGGTCGCGAGTGGGTCGCGGGGTGGGTCGCGGGTGGGTCGCTGGGTGGATCGCGGGTGGGTCGCGGGGTGGGTTGCGGGGTGGGTCGCGGGGTGGGTCGCGGGTGGGTCGCGGGGCGGGTCGCGGGTGGGACGACGACCACAACAAACAACAAACAAGAACAGCAACAACAACAGGAATCCGCATCGCGGAATTCCATTTCAGCTACGCGCGCAGGGACAGTGAATGACCGTTCGGTTCAGCCCCCTCACTCTGATAAGGCGTCTTACACAACGGCTCATCAGGCACCATCCAAAAACTTGTGCACCCGATTGCTGATTCGTGTTGTCTGACGCGGTGGCCCAGGGCAAGAGGCTGTTGGAAGGGAAAGGGTTTTGCCCTCCAGGAGACGTCCTGACACGCGACCACGGATTGTCGGACGACGACCTCTTATTGAGGCATGGGCTGGCTACGAAGGACAGTCCGGCGGGGACGAAGAACTGGAGGACGAAGCATATGGGAAGGGAGAGAGTGATCGCCAGCGGCGGCTGCGGCGGTAGCAGCAACAGCAGCCGGGGGCTGCACGACAAGTGGCAGTAGACCCACGAGTCTGTCGGCGGAGGGCTGGTTGAGACGACGGCGGCTCCTCCGCCTGGCCCAGAAGTCCGGGGTCGGGTTCAGGGTTTAGGGTTTAGGGCCAGGTTTAGAGATTAGGGTTTAGGGTTTCGGATTGGTCCAGAGTTTACGCTTCAGGGTTTGTGGCTTGTGGCTTAGAATTTGAGGCTTAGGGTTGAGGGTTGAGGGTAGGGTTTAGGGAGGGTGTAAGGTGTAAGGTGTAAGGTGTAAGGTTAGCCCCCAGACCCCTACAGGGGGTTCATCCTGTCTTGCTGTCCGAGGCGGCTGCGGCCGTGTCGGCGAGAGGCCTCCGGGAGGCCCCCGGGAGGACGAGCGACGCCAGGAAGGGCCGCCGATGTCTCGGCCAGCCCTCCGGCGAGGTCGCGCGGCGGACGACCCTGCCCCCTGTCTGAGATGCATCTCCTCCTCCTCCTCCTCCTCCTCCTCCTCCTCCTCCTCCTCCTCCTCCTCCTCCGCCTCCTCCTCCTCCTCCTCCTCCTCCTTCCCCCCTCCATCTTCTGGTGGTGGTGGTGAAAACAGGCTCAGCATGTCTCGTCCCATGGGGGCGGCCCCCACCCTGCAGCGCGAGCCGTGACTCTCGCGCCTCCGTGCCAGTCTGGTCGCTTGCGCAGAGCTGCTTGCACCAGAAGGGGACTTGCCAGACGAGAAGGGACTGCACAGGGGGGGTCCTGGCCCAGCGTCCCGAACAGGCCAGGACCGATGCGATTCATGATGCTCGGTGGTTGTCGGGCTCCGCGGCCGTCACAGAACGGCTCAGGATGAAGTGCTGGCCCTGGGGAGGGGCTCTGAATTTCCGGGGGGGGCCGTATGGCAAGCATCGAGGCGTTGATGTTTTGGGCGTTTGTGCTCCGAGCACTTGCACCGCGTTGCCGCCGTGTCCTGCGGCCGGCGGTGTCTCCGCCTGGATCGGGCATTGATTTCCGCTGTGCCCTCCAGTCTTGTTTCTCGGTCTGCGGAGCCCCCGCGCCCTTCCTGGCCTGGTCCGCGCGCCCTATAGTTGCCACGTCTGTCCTCCGTTCGGCGCTGTCTCCGACGGTCCTTGGCCTGTTCCGCGTGCCCCTGTTGCCGGCAGTCTTCTGCGTGCTCGGTCCAGTCGTGTCGGCAGCACGATCTGCGGGGGAACCCAGACGAGGGGAGAGCGAGGAGGAGATGAGGGAGGGTGTTGGATGCCAGCGGTGAGAAAGAGCCCTAGATCAAGCAGGTCAGGTAGACGGCGGATGTCGGCGACACTTGGATGCCAGCATTGCGACCGGGCGTCTGAAGCAGCGGCCATGTGGACGCCTTCCTGGGTTACAGTAGGCACACTAAGTAAGAAGTGAGACATGCTGCCTTCCAACAGGTGGCCAACCAGAATCCAAAATCGCCCGATGTGGCTGCAGATCCCTGGGGCACCCTGCAAAGCTCCCAGTCGACGATGATGTACCCTTAGATTTCTTGCAGCACGCTTTCTTATCGTACGTTCTTACTGCAGTTTGGGGGTCCAGTTTCAGTGGCGGGGTGGGGGGGTCGTGAGTCAAATCCGCCGAGCCGCGTGACGCGACGCACCGCAATCCACGCGCACAGCGCAGGGAGTCGCAACGGCAGTCTGGCAGGGCGGCGCACGGGCTGCCCACCATGATTTTCGAGCCAGCTGCGCCGGCGGACAGGAGAGAGCAGCGTGTCCCCTGCTCTCTGAAGAGGAGGAGGAGGAGGAGGAGGAGGAGGAGGAGGAGGAGGAGGAGGAGGAGGAGCTGACGCGCACTTCGACACACCTCGCCCGATCCGAGGCGTGACGAGTGCACCGGCAGACTGCTGGCGCGCGTGCGCCGCGAGAGGTCGCGGCATGGCCGGCGGAGCCCGTCGATGGGGCCGGGCAGGCACATATGGGGCAGGCTGCCAGCGCAGGAGTGTCGAGGATCGCCACAATGAACAGGGACTGCTGTTGGGTATTGTGCCCATTCTTTCCGTACCCATTTCGGGCGTCCAAAGCAGGGGGGTCCGGTTTATCAGGGCGCCCTTTGCGCACGCAGTCTCACACCGCCCTGACGCACCATGGCCCTGAGAGCCAGAGGGGCCCTCGACGTACGTGGGGCTCCTCGCCTTTTGTGGCTTGCTCTGTTGGGGGTGGGGCCTCCTCGTTTTGGGGGTTCCGCGCGCCTCGCAAATGCTCAACGTTGGCAACAGCGACTATTTATCGTCACCTCTATCCCCGAGATTACCACCGTCATGAATTATCGCGCTCGCAATGTTGCTGGGGAGGTCCAGAATATTAAGGTGCCCTCTGCGGAGAGGGGGTCCGGAAAATTATGTCGCGAAGGAAAGGGGACCCAGTTTTTTAGGGTGGGGTCGATTATTAAGGCATCCGATCTCAAGCTCGTCCGAGGTTTACCGGTCTGATGTGCGGACCGCTTCCGTCCCCCCCCCCCGCAGGACGCGCCCGGGAGCACGGTCCAGGGCGTCTTGCGGGTGCTGGGGAGGCAACACGAGAAGTGGCAGATGAAGGCCATCGGGAACGTCCTGCGGCAGCGGCACCGGGAAACAGCCGGGCGCTCGGACGCAGCCCGCGCCCGCACGGGAGGGCAGAGTTCGAGTAGGAGATCGACTACGGAGCTGATTTAGCATGTACCCCAAAATTGGAATCCTCGTCGAATCTACGAAGCACTTCACGTAGAATCCGTGGATCTACGAACATTCTACACGCTTGTCGCAGACTCGACGCAAACAGGTTCGGCGCACATCAATCCGGTAGCCGACCTCCTACTCCAGAGGTGAGAGTGGCCTGCCTCTCCTCCTCCCCCGGATCCTCCTCGCGCTCCCCCTCCTGCATGGGGCTCCTTCGCTCCCCGTCCCGGTTGCACCCCCTCCCCGCAGCATGACATCAGAGCGCCACTCTTGGCATCACTCGGGCGTGTGCATTTTGCACTGGCGAGGACCATCGACGAGCAGCCTGGATCATCGACCAAAAGCAAACACGCACGAAGCCGGCAAACGCACGGGAAGTGAAAATCGGAGCAACGGCTAGCACTGGGGCTTCTCTGATTTGCCCTGGTACCTTGAGTTTTTACCAAAGCCTCGGTGCGCGGCAGCGGAGTCCCCGACCTCTGGCCAGGGTGCTGTGGATCTCGTTCTGGGCGGCCGGCATGGGCAGGCCGAGACCTGGGGGGCTCCCCAGGAGCTTCCAGGCGGGGTCGAAGGGAGGCCTCCGATCGTCGTGACTCTGTTCACCACGTCCACCCCCCAGAGGTCGGGGCCCATTCCCCGGGACCAGTTTGTCGTCGCATCGCATCGCCAGCGGCACGGAAACTGACTGAACCGTCACGGGGCGCCTGCACACCTCGTGGCAGGCATCTGGGCGCCTGCTGCTGAGAGTTGTGGCCGAACGCATTGGTTTCATCATGGTTCAATGCATGAGTTGACGCTCTGGCCGAGGCCCTGTAAGGGGCCCCTGGAGGCCGAGAACAGCGAAAGACCTCCCGTCGTGATTTTTCCACAGCGCGAGGGGGCCTGGGAAGGGCGAACGCCGGGCTGGGCTGGAGGCCATGATGCTTAGCAGAACCGGCAGTCGGACCGAGGTATAAGATCAAGGCCAGTTCGGGGAGAGTGTCCTCATGTTCATCGTGCTTGTTGGATGTTCTTGTGCATCTTGGGAAAGGTACCCTCGGATGCTCTGTGTGTGTTGGCTGGCGGAGGGTCTCATGTGCTTGAAGGATGTTCTTCTTTCCTAGGTCCGACTGCACCTCACCTCAAGTACCCAGCGGGAAAAGAACATTGGAAGGTATGGGAAGTGGGGGGGGGGAAAGACATTGGAAACTATGGGAGATACTGGGATTTGTGTCTGCTGATTTGCGTGTCCCTGGGCCCCTTTTTCAAGTGGTGACCACTTCTCCCTCGTCAGGGAGTGCGAGAGGCGGGACCCCCGCCTGGTCTGCGGCCTGGCCCCACGCGCCGCCCTGCGGCGCAGGAGTTCCCCTGTCTGCTCGGACGGGCTGCGCCTGAGAGGTCCGAGTGGGCTCCCGCGCGCTGAACTCATGAGAAAAAACGCACAGACACAATGAATCGTCGATTCCCCCGAAAATATGGGAAAATATGGGAAGTGGGGGGGAAGACAAAAACCAGGAAAATATAGGAAGATATGGTGAATCCTGTTATCTGTGTGTATTTATTTGTGTGTCCCAGGGCCCCTTCAAGAACGCGCGCGAGAGGTCAATCGAGTCGGGAGCGTCGGCCGACGAGCGCTGGCGCTGCACGGGAAGTGCACGGGCCGACTTCTTCGCCAGGGGTGGGGCCCGAGAGGAGGCCCTGGCTGGTGTTGCGGCGGCGGCCTTCTCCGCCGCTATCTCGGATTGCGAAAGGTCGTGCGACAGGCCTCGGAAGAAGTTGCGAACATTCATGCCACATTCATCCGTCAATCCCCAACGATCCATGCTGGCGGTGGGCTGAATCAGCTGTACTTCGACCGCAGTCTTCCCCGCGCGTGCCGGCTTTGAGTTCTGGGGAGAGGGGGAGTGTCCTCGAATTGTTCCCTTCTGCCGGATTTCCTGGCTGGAGCTGCGTAATTGACTTCTGCCGGGTCCGAGTGTGCGTTGAGTGACCCCGTGCAGATTGTGGCCCCCGGCCCTGTGGGACCCGGGCTGGCGGCGATTGCCCAAGACCCGTGCCAACGTCCCCCGGCTCGTTCGTTTTCCAGTGCAGTCCCTGTTTTGCCGTTGCTTGGATCTCCTCCGGGTGCGACACGACCCTGCGGAGCGCCCTGGCCCAGGCTGTGGAGCAGCTCGGGCGGTGCGGTGTGGGGGAGGGGGGTGGGCATGCTGCTGCTGCTGCCGTGCGCGGGGCGGAGATCGACGTTCTGCTTCGAGTGCGACTGCCATCGAATGCTGCGGATGGGCCCACGAGGAGGAGGAAGCGGAGGAGGCGGAGGAGGGGAAGGAGGGGGAAGAGGAGGAGG